GCCTCAGTACCTGTAGTTCCATGGCTCCTGCTCAGGAGTTCCTACTGTGTCTGTAGGGCACGTGCGTCCGATCATACGTACACATGTGAGAACACACAGGGAGACGTGTCAGACTCATGGGGAGGACCTGGCTCACGCTTCAGTGCCTGCTCCCCATTTGTTGGCCTAGTCAGCACCCCTCCCTTGGCGTATGGGTTCCTTTCTTGAGTAGGTGGCACTTACTGAAAGAAAATGTTATGGAAACACTGTTTTTCCTGTGTCCTCCAGGTCGCATCCGTACAAGAAGGCAAAGCTCTGGGAGTGCCACCAACGTCGCCTGTGCACCCTCTGATAATCGGGGCCGAAGCCGTGCTAAAGTCGTTTCACAGTCCCAGCGTAAGAAGTATATTTTATGCTCTTGGTTGCCTTAGTTTCAGTCAACAGCCCATTGTATAGTTGGACATTTTTCAATGTTTACGTTGACTTCAGGGATAAAACTTATTTTTGTGGTTTTAAGATACCATGAGAATCTTACTGTTTATTGGGTAAACTTAGAAATTGGAGCATTCTAGCCATATTCTAGTTTCTTTTCCTGATGGTTTACATTTTGTATAGTTAAGCATTAAACATTAAAATCTAGTTTCTATCCCTCTTTTGAGGGCTCTCAATTGAAACGTTATCTGTTTTGTGACTCATGTTTTATGTTGATAAGGAATTCTGTTTGACGTATAGAACAGTACTGGTCAGAAAACTATTAAAGCTGAATTCTTTCCATTGGCAAATAAGTAAATCCATTCAAAGCTCTCTATCTTTACTCCTCTGTTCTAACATTTGTAGCGTGCACCTCTCTTTTGGCCGGTGTGGGCTCTGGCTTTGCCTAGCTGCTCTTGTTTCCATGATTGCTTGTCTGTGTCTGTGAAGTCAGTCGGTTTATTGGCTGCAGGCATGAAAGTAGCCACACTGGAGTGCATAGGGTCCGCTTTGGTGTCTCCCTTTGCAACCATATGTGAAGGCAAAAGGCCTACTCCCTCTCTGTGCAGGTAGAGTGGTAGAGTGGAGCTGGGTGTCACAGTGCTCCTGGGCAGGTTGAGCTTGGGAAGAAGTCTTCATCCCCAGGAGCTGCATGTAGTCCCTGGTGGCTGACATGCGTTTGCCTCCTTTGTGGTCCCAAGAGCTATCTGGCTTTTATAGAGAGCACTGAGTCTGCAGTCAAACCTTAGGAGTTCTGTTAGTATTGAGAATGCCTTTTTCAACTCCTTCTGAATTTAGATTCGTTTCCATGTTGCTTTGATAACTGTAGTCTTTATATTAAACAGGCTTATATCCTTTCTGCAAAGAAAGCCAAAGATCAAATCACATAGCCTTCAGGGAGGGTGCAGAGCCTTTTTGGTGTAGGTTGTCTGCGTGTAGTACACTGCGAGCAAGGGCTTCCACGTCAGACAAACCTGGGTTTGCATCTTGTCTCTACTGTGATCCTGGGTTTGTCTTTTATTATGAGCCTTTGTTTCACTGTCAGTAAATTGAGTGGTAACAAGTTCCACGGTCACGGGGCTTATATGGGGATGTAGTGAAAATCATGAGCCTAATCAGTGATGAACAGGAAATGGAAGCAAGTTGTCCAGCCACAGTTGCTGCTTCAGGTCAGCAGACTCCTACCTGAGGTTGAGCAGCCTTAACATATTCTTCTCCTTTTCCTCCTGTCTAATTTAGTGCAGTCGGGAAAGAAGGCTAGGGATGGATTTATACAATGAGGAGTACAAGTAAGGATATAGTGAGTCCTTTACGCCCCTACGAATGGCTTATTTACTGTAGACTTAACCTGGGTTTTCATTCAGATCCAAGGTGGAGGTGTAGCCCAGAAGCTTCTGCTTTGTAAACGACATCCTGGGTCTGGTTGTTTTTTGTGACCCCTAGTGATCCCTGGAGGCACAGAAAGATAAAATGCTGTGGTCATGACCTCCCCAATATGGGTCAAATCTTATTGCAGAGGAATTTTTGGCAAAAAGTATTTATGTCTCAGAATAGACTTATTGAAATTGAGTTAATTAAAAATGGCTGAACTGTTAACTGTGCAGTGCTTTTTCTTTATACTGAGGTTGAAAGTTGAACAGTATTTTATATTTCTTTGTTACTGTTTGCTGTTTATCAGCATTGGCTTCTTCAAGATTCCTTGTCCCAGCTGGGTCAGCATTGTTATTTTTCTGTATATATTGCAAGTTTTAGGAATCCAAATGTTACCTTTGCTTTAGGAGGTGTGAAGACTAAAGTTCGTTGTTTAGTAGGGTGAAGGTGATGATAGAGCTTTAATTTCTTCCATCTTACAAAAGTACTATACCTGGCCTTAGGACTCCACTTTGAAAACTCTTTGGTTTTGGCTCCACGCCTATAGCTCAAGCGGCTAAGGCGCCAGCCACATACACCAGAGCTGGCGGGTTCGAATCCAGCCCCGGCCTGCCAAACAGCCATGACAACTATAACCAAAAAATAGCCAGGTGTTGTGGTGGGCACCTGTAGTCCCAGCTACTTGGGAGGCTGAGGCAAGAGAATTGCTTAAGGCTAGGAGTTGGAGGTTGCTGTTAGCTGTGATGCCATGGCACTCTACCCAGGATGAAAGCTTGAGGCTCTATCTCAAAAAACAAAACAAAACAAAACTCTTCAGTTTTATTTTACTTACTAAATTGCACTAAGGAAGGGAGACTACACCAAACATTAGCAAATGATCAAGCCTGTACCTTAAGCTTATGCCTAAATTAAATATGCCTTTAAAATTATTTTAATAAGAGGTAAATATAAGTGTATTTTTTGTATATTACAAATATAGATAAACTAGTATTCATAGTTCCTGGTTTAATATTAAGTAGATTTCATTAATACTAGATTTAGGGCTCTTAATAATTGGCATACAAGTGTGGTACTGGTGGCTCAAGGAGTAGGGTGCTGGCCCCATATGCCAGAGGTAGTCGTTTGAAACCCAGCCCTGGCCAAAAAAACTGCAACAACAACAAAAAGTAATAATTGGTATACAAGTTCTGACAATTAAGTTCATGAACTCATCCTAGAAAAAGTTCTACATACCTCATTGCTGAGTATCACTGTGGACACCTTTGAAGTATTCCCCTTAGGAAACTGTCACCAACACCAATACCTGGTCCAGCCTTCAAAGCAATTTTGGAACTTTTTCTGGAATGACTATCAGAGTTGTCATCTTATGGTACACACAAAAACACAACAATACTGAATGCCACTCAGCAAGATACTGCCATCCATATGTTGACACAAACATGTTTGTGAGACTGATATACCAAGGTCATGGAACCTTACTGAGTTGTTTGTGCAGTGCTGCTAGTGTAAGCACATGGTGGCAAGTTTATGACCTTAACTGTCAGACCTTGTATGATGATAGCTCTGATGGTCCAGAAAGAGTTCCAAAATTGCTTTGAAGGGTGAATTAGGCACCTGAGTTGGTGCTTAGCTTCCCAAGAAAAATACTTGGAAGGTGACCATAGTGATATCAGCAACAAGATATGTACCACATTTTCTAGGATGAATTTGTGAACTTAATTGTCAGACACTGTATTTTTAATGTTTTAGGATTAAGGAAAGTCATAGGATAGTCAGCATTAAAAACTAAAAGCATTTTCTTTCACTTCATTGATGTTTATGGAGCACTTACTACGTCGTAAGTACTGTTGAAGATGGTAGTGATATACAGATTAAGTTCTGATGACTTCCCTCACATTGCTTAATGCCAGAGAATAGCTATGGTCTGTGAGTTCAGGGTTGCTTGGTTTACTCTTCTCTGCCTCTTTCTAAGCCTAGCACATGTAAGTTCTTAAGTGTTATATGAACAGATCTGATATAAGTGCTAATGCAGGTTGATGAGTGTCAAATAAACATAAGTACAAAACAGATTAGGAGGAACAGGTCCTAGAAAAAACAGGTATTTTACTAATGTGTTTGTGAACAATGACATTTGTGCTGTGTTGCATGCTGACCTGCTGTATTGTGTTATTGTCTTTTAATCCACTTTTTGCCTGTCCTTTGGTCTGCTCTCATAATCAAGGATCCAGATCTGCTAATCCTGCTGGTGGTAAGCCATTTCTCTTCTTGCCTTTTTTGTTGTTTTGTTTTTTGGCATTCTCCCTCACCCCATGTTCCCTGCGTGATGTTAACTTCTCTCTTCATTAGGAGCATAGTTAATCTTTCTGCATTTTTTTCTGTGTGTTCAAATTCTAGAGTTTGAAATGGATTTCTTTTCCACTTATACATAGCTAAGTAGTTTGTGTGCTCAAATTTTATGGGCAAAATGAATAGCTCTTGAGACAAATTCTTTATGGTACTGTGTTTTCCTGATTTGACAATGTTTTTTCACTTTAGATTATAGTTAAATCATTAAAAAGTATTGAGTTTCGTGAGAGTTGCCTAAGTGATTCATTTGAATGATGATTGTTTTGAAACATATTATTTTAAAATTACATATACCTATGTGTGTGTGTGTGTATATATATATATATGTGTGTGTATTTAAATTTTCCAGGTAAGTATTTCAAGATTTTTTTTCCCTCTGGGTTCTTCTATTGTAGTGCAACAGATGTGTACTTTACATTTTAGAATTTTATTGCCTTCTCTAGGTAAGGAGATGATTTAAGTAAATGACTGCCATTTACATGTATTAGCGTGATGTTTAAAATTTTGCTGTTGTCTCAGAGAATTTTGTCTTACAAAAAAAATGATTATTTAGCTATCTAGCTGCTTAGCTATTTATAAAAATTGGCCATATTATTTGTGTTTAGTTTATAATTTTATTGTATACTTCTCAGAGAATCTGATCTATGTTTCTACTTTGGCAGATTTTTTGAGATTTGCTTTGGTACTTCACATAGTTGGGCTTTGTAACATTAGTGTGTGTGTGATGATAAATAAATGTGTGCTCTGTTGTGGGAAGTGTACATAACATACATACACAAAATCCACACAGTTTTAACTGTTGAGTCAATTTCTGTGTGATGTATTAGTCTTTCATTAGTTGTTAGTCCTTCTACAAGGTCTGTTAATAGTTAGGGCTTTTCCCATTTCTCCCTATATTTTTAGTATTTTGTTTTATAGTTCAGAGCTGTATTGTTTGGAGCATAAAGGTTCACAATTATCATATCTTTATGGACATTGATCTTTGGCCTTTTTAAATGCTGTATTTTGTTCTGTTTTTTTTGTTTGTTTGTTTTGTTTTTCTTTTCTTTTCTTTTTTTTCTTTGAGACAGAGTCTCAAGCTCTTGCCCTTGGTAGAGTGCTATGGTGTCATAGCTCACAGCAACCTCAAACTTAAGTGAGGCTTAAGCCAATCTCTTGCCTCAGCCTCCCCAGTAGCTGGGACTACAGGCGCCCACCACAGCGCCTGACTATTTTTATTGTTGCAGTTGTCATTGTTTTAGCTGGCCCGGGCTGGGTTCGAACTCACCAGCCTCAGTGTATGTGGCTGAAGCCCTACCCACTGAGCTACAGGCACTGCCTATTTTTTTTTTTCCAACATGTTGTTTCACTGTTACAAACAACAGATAGTTCAGTTTCATTTTATTTTTAAAAATCAATTGGAGAACCTGTCTTTTAATAAATGAATTTAATTTATTTTGAATACTGATAAAAAGCCTATTCCCACATCTTACTTTGTGATTTTTATTTACCAAGTTTCCAGTTATTTCATCCCCTCCTCCCTTTTCTTTTATTTTTGTTAGATTAATGGAGTTTTCTTGCATCCATTTTTTCTAATTCTTCAGAAATTTGATACAATTATCCTTCTTTTAGTAGTTACACTTAAAATTTTTAACTTAATTTTTATGGAATAAAAAATCAAAATAATAAACGTCTTTGTGGTCATCTGTATGGATTTGCTGTATGTGGATCAGGGAAGCTACTGTTGATAGCCTGTTTTTTCAAATAAAAAACTTACATAGTTATTTTTCTAGAATTCCACCAATAATTCTTCTGAGTATAGATTTCTTAATGATATTCAGTAATTGTTTATGCTCCTACATTAAAAAAATTAGTACTATTGCCATCTAAAGATCTTATTTTTATGTAAAATTCTCTTAGTATTTCATCCAAATTAATGTGTAAAAACTGGCTTCTGAAATTACTATAATTTATTCCCTGACTTACATCTACCATTTATTTGCTTTTGCTTCATTTTTAGCGGGCAGCCGGTCGAGTTCCCCTGGAAAATTGTTGGGAAGTGGTTATGGTGGACTTGCTGGGGGTTCCTCAAGAGGCCCACCTGTGACAGCATCTTCAGAAAAGCGAAGCAAGATTCCCAGGAGTCAGGGATGTAGCCGAGAAACAAGTCCAAACCGAATAGGATTAGGTAAGGATTTTCAAAGATCTTGGAACACCACTCTCAGCTTATTCTTGAACTGAGGCTGTCACTTTGCCTGTGTTAAGAAGACATTTTGTGTGTGTACAGATTATGGCATTTTGAGTGCTCTGGTAGAAAAATGTTTGGGGTTTACAGTTCAAATGATGGGAAGGAATTACGTCATTGTAGGTTTTGCTGTTATGCAGTCATTTTGCAAACCATTGGAATCGGAGTAGCAGGAGTTTCCCTCACTATTAGAAGCAAGTTTGCTTTTCATTTTCCTTTTGCTAATTAGCACTAAATAGTCATTAACCCATATGAATTTTCAAAGCAATCTTTAGGGTCCATATTTATTTTAGTTTTGATCTTCTCCAACCCTAATTGGGGGAACTGTTATGATTAAAAATATATAGCGTTACTTTTAAAATAATTTTGTTAATTTTGTTTAAACATGAAAGCTACCAATTGATTAAAAACTAACACATAATCTTTATTTTTGTGTCGGAATAGTTATTTTGTAATAATGGGTGTGCAATCATGTGAATTACTTTCAGCAACTTAAAGACCTTTTACTCTATTAAAATCTAATTTATTTCCTACCTTTTGGTAAAATTTAGAAGTCTTTTATGATATGATGCAAAAAAGTCTAAATTCATATACTCTTTAGCTTTATGACATCTTTATGTTGCAAGCACAAAAATCTATTAATATAAAATCAAATTTATTATAATTCTTAAGACATGTTGGCTTGTCTTATTCATTTGTCTCCTCAGCAGTTTTACTTTAATGTTTACTGTGATGTACTAGGCACTTTGTTAGCCCTGAGAATTAGAATATGAATAGGTTTAGATTCTGACTTCAGAGAGCTGGTGACCTATTGGGGAGAGGGAGAATTGCAGGACAGTTTGACAGACACTGTGACAGAGTGTGCTGGGACTACAAACAAGTAATGTCATAGGCCTTTGTCCACCCACCTCTCCCTGATTTCTTGCAGATGGAGGCTTCCCAGAACAGGTCCTGTTTTAGTGAAGGACAAAGTGGTATTAGCCAGGGTGGAGAGAAGCACATGCAGAAGCAGTCAGGGCAGAGGGAGCCAGAAATGATTCATTTGGCTGCTATAGAGGAAGTTTGTGAAGGTGGACGGGGTTGAGGGCAGAGTAACTGGTAGAGTGCAGCTCATGAAAGTCCTTGAACACCACCTGAACTATGAGAAGACAGGAGCAGACATTTAACATAGGATTTGTTTTAAATGTATATTTCCAAAGCAAGTAAAAAGTATTTGTTGATTTTGTTAATTATCTACGTTGGCATCATGTAGTGTGGCCTGTGAGCTTACAAGTTACTTAGGTATTGCTGTGGACACAACCAGAGAAAAGATCACAGCTGGGATATATAAATTTCATATCTCATGTGTAATGTATGGATGTGTGGGTCTGATTTTGTTTGAAAAATGCATTTGATTTTAATCTAGGTGTTAGATTTCAGTTGTCCTTTTTTCCATAGTTAATTGTTAAGTTGATAGGATATCTGTTTATAATCCATGTTAGCTTTATATTTGTAGAAATATCTTTCCCATTTTAGGATTTTTCTTTTTATATTTATTAAAGATGCCAATTTCATTTATCTAACATAACACTATGACCTGGCATTCCATAGTCTTAACTGTGAAGTTTGCATTGGGTATAGCTGAAAAGATGGCATTTATGAGCTTTTCAAAGAGATATTATAAAACACCAGTAAGAACTAAAGAGGAGACTCTTCTCTTCCAATGAATTTTCTTCTTGAAACATTAATTGAAGGTTATTTCTTTGATGCTCACTTGAGGGGTTTAAGGGGATCAGTAATTTGTGAAGCTTTGAAGCCATATCTATAGTTCAGATTAAAGAAGAAAAATTCAAACTTTTCACATGTGAGAATACACAGATATAAAGAAATATATGTCCTTGAATTACATCCTTACAGTTTTTTCTGTAGTACTACTTAGAGACTCCATTTTATAGGGGGGGCAGGTATATTAGAATTTTTCAGTAATAGATTACTATGATCATTTAGCATATACTGGATATGTGCCTATGTTTCTAAACATTTGGTTCGTTGTAAAGCAGTTTTTGATACAAATGTTAAAAAGGGGGAGGAAAATTTTCTTTCTTTTTTTTTATTAAGACAAAGTCTCAAGCTCTTGCCTTGGGTAGAGTGCAGCTCACAACAATCTCGATCTCTTGGGCTAAAGCAATTCTCTTGCCTCAGTCTCCCAAGTAGCTGGGACTATAGGTGCCCACCACAATGTCTGGCTGTTTTTTTTTTGTTGCAGTTGTCATTGTTGTTTTAGCTGGCCAGGTCAGGTTCGAACCTGCCAGCCTCAGTGTACGTGGCTGGCACCCTACCCACTGAGCTATGGGCACTGCCCCAGGGAGAACAATTTTAAAGAATATTTTCTATAATCCCCAAACCAGTTAATTCAGTAATTTTAATAATAGCTAAACTAGGCTTGGAATGTGCACTGAGAATTAATTCTAGTTATCAACAAATTATATTTGGCATATTACATATTTTCTTTTTTTTTTTTTTTTTTTTTGCTATTTTGGCTACGGCCAGGCTTGAACCCACCACCCCTGGCATATGGGGCCAGCACCCTACTCCTTGAGCCACAGGCGCCGCCTTATGCCTCTTTTTTGTTTGAAATCACTTTTCTTTTCTTTTTTTTTGAGACAGTCTCACTTTGTCACCCCTGGTAGATTGCTGTGGCATCATAGCTCACATCAACTTCAGACTCTTGGGCTCAAGCAATTCTATTGCCTCAGCCTCCCAAGTAGCCGGGACTATAGGCGCCCATGACAACACCTGGCTATTTTTAGCTCAGGTTGGTCTCGAACTTATGACCTTAGGCGATTTGCCCACCTTGGCCTCCCACAGTGCTGGGATTACAGGTGTGAGCCACCACATGGCTTTGAAATCATATTTCTTAACTAACTTTTCTTTTCTTGTTTATTGTAAAAATGACACCAAGGTGTCTTCTTTGGCATTTAAGATTTCTTAAGCTAAATGGCCTGTAATTCCTGTTAAATAACCAAGAAGCAGAATAAATTCCTGCTATTCTCTTTTTTCTTGGCAGTTTATTCTCTTGTAAGCTATCCAACTGAGTAGAAAAATATATTTGTAAATTGTTCCATTTCTGTGTGTTTAAAGATAATAAAGACTTTATAAATAATAAAATCACATAAATCTCTAGCACTTAACAGCAGTTTTATGTTGGAAGCTTGCTTTTGTTTCCTTTCTCCTACTCATCTGTTGAAAAATGCTATGAAAAATTCTTTTGATGTTTTTACAGCTTACCTACTAAGTATATATATTTAGAATATTTTAAACTTTCCTTTTTTTTTTCTTTTTTGGAGACAGAAGCTTACTCTGTTGCCCCAGGCTAGAGTGCTGTGGCCTCAGCAATCTCAAACTTCTGGGTTCAAATGATCCTACTGCCTCAGATTTAGGAGTTGCTGGACTACAGGTGCCTGTCACAATGCCTGGCTAATTTTTCTATTTTTAGTAGAGACTTTGTCTCGCTCTTGCTCAGGCTGGTCTCAAACTTTTGAGCTCAAGGGAGCCTCCTGCCTGGGCCTCACAGAGTGCTAGGATTGTAGGCATGAGCCACTATGCCTGGCAAAGATTTTCTGGTTATAAATACTTTGAAAGAATTAAATATTAATAATAATCCATTTGAACTGGGAAATTAAACTATGTCCAAGAAGAAGACATGAAAACATTTAGACCAGAGAGACATTTTATGTCTTTAGCTTCTGCTTGTTTTTGTTACTCCTTCATACTTCTGCTTTTCATATGAGTTTGGACCCTTCCTTAAAAAGTGTAAGTCAGTGGGTAAAGGCGCCAGCCACATACACTACGAGGCTGCTGGTTCAAACACAGCCCGGGCTAGCTAAAACGACGACGACAACTGCAACAACAACAACAAAAAAATAGCCAGGCATTGTAGTGGGTGCCTGTAGTCCCAGGTACTTGGGAGGCTGAGGCAAGAGAATCGCTTAAGCCCAAGAGTTTGAGGTTGCTGCGAACTGTGACGCCACGTCACTCTACCCAGGGCAATTGCTTGAGA